TTATATATATATATATATATATATATAACATTTAAATATATATATATACATATATATAACAGAACATATTAGTTCAATTTCTGAAATTCAAGCAATTGGAGATTATAATAAAGGCAGTAGCTTTCTATTCATTTCACAAAATCAAATTAAAATTATATTTTCAACTTGTTTTTGAGGACTGGTGATGAAATATTCTTTTTCAATTCCTTGAAAATATTTTGGTCTTAGTTAAATTCTCAGTCTTTATTTGAAAAACAACTGTTAAGAAAGCAACAGTTAAAATGTCACAGAAATTTGTAAGGTTTGCAAACAGATGATGTGTTTTAAGCTTGCAAAATGAAAGTTCATAAACAATTTTACTTTTTGGGAAAATACTGGAATATTTAAGGTTGTTTTCATTATCCCCAGGAGAATACAGGAATATTTAAGGTTGTTTTCTTTATCCCCAGGAGAATTGACAGTTTGTATACTGAAACTGCAAACTGAGGCTTATGTTTTTACATTTTAAAATCAATGGCAGTTAATATAGGAACTTGTAAAAATACACCTTCTTAACAGTTCTTGAAGTTGCTTTTTTTGATACCACTATCATTTTTTAATATTATGTGACTTAGGTTATGGAAGTATACTTTAGTGTACTACTGATTTTGAGATTTGGGAAGCTTTCGAAGTACTGAGTTTGTGCTTCTACAAGAAAGAAAAACTGTATTAACAAAAGTCACAGTAGTTTCTTTTTGTATTTTATTTTGGAGAACCACTAAAAATGTTTTGAAAATTGGGACCAGTTTTAGTGGCTTATTGGAGATCTTTGTATAGTAAAAATGTTATAGTAAGAAAAAGAGGTTTTGATGGTATTGTTACCTTAACTTTTATAGGTATGTACTGTACTAGCAAAACAACTGGTCCAGTTAAGAAAACAGAAGACAAGAACACATACAGCAAGTTCAAAAGTACAATCCATTGGTGCTCAGTCTAAGGTTAGTACTATCTAGTTATAACAGGCAGCATATATTTGGCAGAAAGGAAGGTTAGTGTTGTTAAGTACAGGAAATAAAAGAGGACAAAATGTTAAATTAAATGCTGTTACTTTTTAAACAAGCCTAAAAACTTAATGAATAAGCTTTGGTGTGATCACTTATTAAAAGAGCCAAAAATTTTATGGAACCCAAAGATTAATTTTTCAAGGTGTTGATTGGTTCATTTTTATATTTCCATTCAGATCACATAATTGCATTAGCTGGGTCTCAGACTTTTGTACAATTATATATATATTGTTGAAATGTTTTATAAATATAATTGCCAATGCCACACCAGTGACTTATTAAATGTGAGAGATGTTAATGTCTAGTTGAACTTAAACTGGTACTGCATTGTTTGTACAAATACAAACTTCAAATTTAATGTTAAGTCAGTGAAAGCCATTTTTACTCGGCGACATTCTTTAATGCTTGTTACGTACCCTTGAAGACATTACGTTGAGTTGTCACTTTTGTTACAGCTTGCTCGTTACATCAGCTCACAAGAGCAAGATGAAAAGACAACATGATTTATTCAATGACGAGGAACCCACTTTGAGACTAATAATGGTTGGAGACAGCTTGAATGGGTAATGAAGAAAAACTTTAA